CAGTGCTCGAGCAACGAACCTGAGCCGTTGAAGCGCCTGAAGCATGCTAGCGATCATGAGGAGGAAGACGAGCATACGTCGACCTGCCACCATGATGGTGGGTGCGTTTGTGTTGCCGCTAGTCACCATCGGCCATGACGACGCGTCCACCACCCGCAGCCCCCGCACCCCTCGCACACGCAGAAGGGGATCGAGGACGGCGAGGGGGTCCCCGTCAGCTCCCATCCTCGCTGTCCCCGCAGGGTGGTAGACGGTCCCACCTACCGCTCGGATCTGACACTCCCAGAAGGAGTCGGGCGTCTCCTCCAGAGGCTCCGACGGGCAGCCGCAGGAGGAGGCCTGGCAGTCGCGCTGGTTGTAGAGGAGCTTCCCGTCCGTCCATTCCCGCATCTCCGCCGTCCTGACGATGCGCAGGATGAGGCGGATGCCCTCCAACAGCGTGGCCATGTCGTCTGGGTGCCGCAGGTACTTAGGGTCAACCCGAGGAGGGTCGAGCGGGTCAGCAGAGCGCAAGGAGACGCTGCCGGTGGTGCCCGGGTGGAGGAGGGTGGGGAACATGGCGAGGCCGTGGGTGAGGGGGGAGATGTCGTACCATCGCAGCATCTCCTCGTTGAAGCCGAAGTTGAGGAAGTCGGAGCGAGAGCCTGCAGCTGCGATCATGTGGAGCTGCAGGTCAGGCAGCGTCAGCGACGGCCGCGTCCTCGAGAACGAGACGGCCTCGAGCATGGGTGAGGTCAGGGGTCCCCTATGGGCGAGGAGCCAGGAGAGGAACGACCAGGTGCTGGTGGCATCCTTCCTGCGATAGGAGACGGGGCTGGTGACGTTGAACATGAGGCCGTAGAAGAAATGATCCTGCAGATTCTTTCCCACCCCAGGGGAGGAAACCTTGACCTCTATCCCGTGCTTCTTCAGCTGCTCCTCCTCCCCGACCCCGGACAGCATCAGGAGCTTCGGAGTATGCACGGCACTCGCTGCCAGCAGAATCTCCTTCCTCCCCTCCACGTACACGTCCTTCCCGTCCTCCCCTCGGAACCACACTCCCTTGGCCTGGCACTTCTCCTTTCCCCCTCCCTGCTGCCCGCTGCAGTCGATCTCGACCTTGAGGACCGTAGCTCCTACGACCACCTCCAAGTTCCTCCTCCTCATCGCAGGACGCAGGTAAGCCCTGCTCACGCTCCACCTCCTCCCCCTGTACGTCGTGCTCTGCAGATGCGCACATCCCTCCTGCTCCTTCCCGTTGTAGTCAGGATTCTCTCCCAGCCCCGCCGCTGCACATCCTTCCACGAACGCTGCTGTCAAGGGACTCCGCTCCACGGGGTCGGAGACGAACAAGGGGCCATGAACGCCATGGTAGCTCGACCAGCGAAGGTTCTGGTTGTTCTCAGCCTTCTTGAAGTAGCGCAGGGCGGTCGTGTAGTTCCAGCCCGTCGCTCCCCGTCGCTCCCACTCGTTGAAGTCCTCAGGGTTTCCTCGCACGTACGCCATGTAGTTGATCGAGCTCCCTCCTCCTAGTGTCTTCCCCATCGGCCACCTGCAGCATCCGTCCTTCCCCTTCACCGTGGGGTCCTGCGTGCACGAGATCGATCTGCATGCGTGTCCTTCCTGCTGCTCCGTCTCCACCTGCCAGTCCCGCTTCGTGCGCTGCAGCGTCCCGCAAGCAAGAGGGACGTCGAGGAGGAGGTTGGAGTCCCTCGGCCCGCTCTCGAGCAGCAGCACGCTCAGGTCCTCCTCCTCGCTCAGCCTCGCGGCTACCACGGAACCTGACGATCCTCCTCCCACCACGATCACGTCGTAGGCCTTCTGGGTTGGCAGGGAGAGAGGGCCACGAGGAGAGGAGGGGAGGAGAGCCAGGAGCGAGAACCAGAGGCTGGTAAGTTTGTCGAGAGATTCATCGAGGAGAAGAATATTCTCGTCGGACAAACTTATGCTCCCCAAGAGGGACGCAAGGGATCCGAGAACCTGGTCCATGAGGAGCTGGAAAATAATAGAATCAGGACAGAGAAATGGCAAGGAGAGGAGGAGGAGGAGGAGGAAGTGAGAACGAGAACGAAGAGCAGGGGAGGGAACAGATGGAAGGGGGAAGGAGGGGGGCGGGGGGGGGGGGGGATCATATTTGATCACGGGGAATCTCGTCTTCTCGCGCGCCTCTCGCTTTCATTCTCTCTCGGTCTTCGCATTTGTATCAATATCATCTACTCCACATTTCTG